ATTCATTTACTTAATTATTCAGTTTTGGTGTACATGCACAGCACTTTGAAGATTGCTAGTCCATACTCCCACAAGAAACAACTTTGCCAACAAGAACATAGTGCTTATGTGCAGTCCCTTTGGTCTTTAGTATTACAGGGTCCCCTCACTTCCAAAGTTATTCGGGTCAGCACCTTCTCTACCCACTCCCATCACTGGGGTTGTTTCATATATTTGTAATATAGTTAAATTCTTTGCAACATGCTTCATTCCGTCCTGTGATCCCCTGACGTCCTAAATGGTTTTTATTTAATTTGCATACATTAATGCTCAATCTTTGTGCTATAAAGTTCTATGGGTTTTGACAAATGTATAATGCTACGTATTTACCATTACAGTATCACATAGACTAGTCTCTCCATTAGAAAAAGCATCCCTTGTGTTTGATTTATTAAATCTTCCTTCCTTCTCCTGGACCTTTGGCAACTGTTAGAGAAAGTCATCTAGAGGATATGGCCTCCAGTTGACCCATGAGGGGCACCTGGGTAATTGGAGGATCCTCATCCCTCCCCTGTCCTTGAAATGTGCATTTCACCCACCACTTCCACACTAAGAGCCATTTTCAAACATGCAGCCTTGAGAGAGTAAAGTGTTGTTGAGACCATCTGGACTGAATCACTGAACCCAGTTAAGACCTCTATATAAACTTTGAACATTCTGGCAGGTGAGTTTGGAGATTTACTGGTCTTGTGGCCTCCTGAGTAAGTTCCCTTGCTTATTAAAACTACCCACCAACCAATATGGAGTGAGTAGCCTTTCTCATCTCTCCTTGCCCTCTGTGTACAGAGGCTAGTTTCAGATTCCACCTGGGAAGTTTCTGAGGTTGCAACCCAACAGCAACAAGTGATCTTTTTACTGTTTCCATAGTTTTTCTTTTTTCAGAATGTCATGTAAATGGAATTGTAAAATATGTAGCCTTTTCAGACTGGCTTCTTTCACTTAGGAATGTGCGTTTACGGTTTATCAATGTCTTTTGTAACTTTATAGCTCATTTCTTTTTATCAATGAGTAATATCACATTGTATGGATGTACCAGTTTGTTAATTCATTCACCTATTGAAGGACATCTTGGCTGCTCCCAGTTTGGGCAATTATGAATAGAGATACTATAAGCATTCACAGGCAAGTTTTTGTGGGTAGATAAGGTTTTAAATAAGTTGAATAAATACCTAGGAGTGAGATTGATGGGTGACTTGGTAAGACTATATTTAGCTTTGTAATAAATAGCCAAATTGTATTCCTAACTGGCTGTGCCATTTTACATTCTCACAAGCAATGAATGAGAGTTCCTGTTGCTCCACATCTTCTCCAGAATTCGTCTTGTCGGTTTTATGGATTTTAGCCATTTTAATAGGTGTATGGTGGTATCTAATTATTGTTTTAATTTGTAACTCTCTAATGACAAATGATATTGAGCATCTTTTGATATGCTTATTTGCTTCTGCATATCTTCTTTGCTGAGATGTCTGTGTAGATAATTGCCTATTACTTTAATAGACTTCAATTTTTAGAGTATTTTTAAGTTTATAGAAAAATTGAGCAGAAAGTATAAATGGTGCCTATAAATGCCCTGTCCTACCCACCGATTTCTCCTATTTTTAACATGTTGCATTAGTGTGGTACATTTGTTACAATTGATAAACCAATATTGATACATTATTATTAACTAAAGTCCATAGTTTGCATTAGGGTTCACTCTTTGTGTTATACCGTCCTATGAGTTTTGATGAATGAGTAATGTCATATATCCACCCTTATATCATGCAGAATAGTTTCACTGCCCCCAAAATTCCCTGTTATCCACCTATTATTCCTCCTCCCTGCCCCCAGAACTCCGGGCACCACTGATATTTTTCCTGTCTCCATAGTTTTGCCTCTTCTAGGATTTCACATAGTTGGAATCATACATTACATAGCCTTTTCAATTAGCAGTATTCAATTCAATTAGCGTTAAGGCTCTCCTCCATGTATTTTCCTGACTTGAGAGATCATTTGTTTTTATTGCTAAAGAATATTCTATTTTATGGATGTACAACAGTCTGTTATCTATTCACCTATTGAAGGGCATCTTGAGTATTTCCAAATTATGGCAATTATGAATAAAATTACTATAAAAATACTTGTTAAGGTTTTTGTGTGGGCATAAGTATTCAACTCCTTTTGTAAGTACCTAGGAGCGTGATGGTTGAATTGTATGGTAAGTCTATGCCTACCTTGGAAGAAATGACCAAACTGTCTTTGAAAGTGGCTGTACCATTTTACATTCCCACCAGCAATGAATGAATCTTCCTGTTACTTCACGCCCTCACCAGTATTTGGTGTTAGTGTATTTCTGATTCAAAGTTTTGTCCCCACATTTCCAAATGTTTGTTTGAGGATTTTTTAGTGTAATCTTACAGTTTTCAGCTTCAAGGTTGTTCTTGGGGCAGAAGGGAGAAGTTTCAACAGCTGAAATGTTTTGATTCATCTTTTCTGTTTTTATTTCTGTAGTTTTGTATGAATATGGTCAGATTTGTTTCTATTCAATTTGTAAACATTGTTTCTAGTTCAAGAATTCTCTCTACCCCCCTTGTGTTCTCTTTCCGTGCAGTTTCTTCTACAGATGAGCTTGATGGTGGTGGTGGGAAGTAGAGAGTGATGTGCCTTATTTCTCTTTTGTTTGTACAATCCTGAATTCTCCCCACTTTCTTCTTTATTTTCTATCACTGCCTCATTGCTAAGGAGTACCATCCATTCTCTGTATATCCTATTATCCCCCCAAAGCAATACTTCTCTATGGTTGCTACCTGCCAAGCTCCTTCACTGTAGCCAGTACTGTTCTGACCTGTGCTCACTATATTGGCATTTAATATTGGCTATAACTTTCTCAGGTGACTTTGTCTGTACTTTTCTGTGTTCTTCATACTCTGCTTCTTTTCACGAAGTCACTTAAGCCTCCTCTAGCCCATTCTCCACATCCACAGGCTTGCAGTGATGGGTGGAAGCCCTGTTGGAATTGTTTAATTTACTTACAATTAATTTAAAGGTGGTGCTGTTTTTTATCTTTTAATAATGGTAAAGGCATATTATTTTCATTGATGTTATGAGTTTCATGGGGAGAGTGTTGGGAAGATTTGAAACCAGGCAGTTACCATTGTGTTCAAACTACTAGATTCGAATTAAGATCAGAAATTTCAAAACTTCATAAATGATATGGCCTGGGTGCAGTTTTATAAGAAGGCAATATCCTGAGCTTTCAAAGACTGAGACTGTGAGCCATATATTTCAGTATAACATGTAGAAAGGTGAAACGTTTGAAATGAAGAAAAGATAGATAGTTAGGTGAATGAATGGGTAGACAGAAACATATGGATAGATAGATAGACAGATACATTGTTAGGATAAATATTAGAAGCAGAGAGATGACAGAGAACTTTTCCTTCTTTTCGAAGGATTAGCTGGTCCTAACAGTTGACTGAACAGAAGGAGATTAAAAGGGAGGGAATTTCCTGTCAAAGAGAAACTGATTCATAGGTCTCTCTGATCACATGTTCTGGTGAGGCAGAATTAGACTGGCAATTATTTCAAACAGAAAGGTGAAAACAGTTAGCAGAAAGTCAAAGAAAGAAGTTATCTTCCTAGGGAAAGCAAAATTTTTAAAGCATTTATCCCTCTGCGTGGGTGGTATGTAGTGAGTAAGGGAGTAGAAGTGTTAAATCTGACCCGTGCCCCAGGTGTGGAGGAGATTCATACCTTGTCCAAACGTTTCTGAACCGATAAATTTGTAGACTTTTCTGGTATTGCCAGTGAGTGGTGATAAGTGCTTGAGAGAGAGAGAGAAAAAAATAAATAAGGCAAAAGGGACCTGGAGCAGCCTGCATTCTCACTACTTGGCAAGGACACAGGGATTTCCCCTGGGCAGAAAAACACTGGGAAAGGCAGCAGAGTTTAAGATAACCTCGTGAGTTCCTTGAATGAGCAGACATACCATAGCAAGGGAATTTAGGTAGAAAATAGAGTAGACCCCCTGTGGCATGGAAAGAGGAATCATTTCTTCGCAGGGTCACCATTGTTGGTGATCTACTCAAAGAGAAGCTTCCAAGAACCCCTAAATAAAATTTGTGACCCTCAAGATTCCAGCAGTTTTTGCCAGCAGATTAGAGAGAGTCAGAAGCCAGCTAATGCTAGATGGGGAAATTGGTGATTGGGGTTGGGAGGGTAGATAGTGAAGCAGATAACATGCTTGCCAAATAAGTCCAGGTATTTTCAAGAGCAGAGCACTGTCTCCCACAAAGAGAGGGGAAAATGTTCAGGATCATTCCCTCCATTCACCATCTCCCTAACAGACACACCCACCCACCCACACACCCACCCACCCACCCACCCACTGCTGCTGACAAGTATTCCTAGATGTTCTGCTACTGGACTATTGGATTGTAAAAAGATAATAATTCTTAGAAATGACCAAATAACTCCTCAAAATGAGGCCACTTTAAGAGAGAAGAGAAGAGTTGGGGGCTATTTACTAGAAAAGACTGATATTCAGCCAATTGATTTTCTTCCCCACTATCTTAGTTTGCAGAGAATGGAAGCAAAAAGGTAGATACCTTTATAACACAAAATTATAAACAAAAACTAATTTCTTTATAAACAAAAAACTAATTTCTTTCCTGTATATTGCATCTCAGAATTGATTCTCCCATTCTTTGTTACTATGCCTAAAGTTTTGCCACCAAAGATTCATTTCCTTTAGATTGTAAAAATGACTAAAACCTGTCCTGTCTACCTTCCCAAGTGTTGAGAAGAATGAGAGCAATGTATGTGATTACCATTGTAAGTTGTAAAATAATTTTATCACACTCAAATAATAACAATAGTGATCAGAGAAATAAATTGTAATCTGTAACTATCTGGGAAACCATGACGTCTGAGTTGAGATGTCTTTTATAGATAGCTATAAGACACTTTCCTTTCTGTCTCAGCTACTCTGTTTCTAATCCCTTTGACTAATGTGAACTACTGGGGGAGACTCAAGAGCCAGAGGAAGAAAGGAGAAAAAAAAGTTGATCAAGAGTGCATTATGTGTAGAAGAATATTTCAAAGAATATATGGTGACTTGCAAAAGAATAATTCTACAGCAGTTTAAAAAACAAAACAAAATAAAACAAATAAAAACAATAAACTATTGGGTATTTTTCCATTTCAATCAATCCAGCAAGAAACAACTGCATTACCTGATGGCCTTATAGTTATGATCCCTGCTGAAGCCAGTTTGCCAACCTGTATTGGGTATCTTTCACGGGTCCTTAAACTCCTCCTTTTCCCTACCTTTGTTTTTTGAGTGCTTCATATGTACTAGGCGCTATTTTAAGATCGTTACATGTGTGGTGTTATTTTCATACCCTTCCTGAATAGGTACAATTATTTTCCCAACTTTGAGAAAGAGAAACTGAGGCACAGGGGGATTAAATAACTTGCTAGTCACACAGGAGTAAATGGTAGAGTTAAGGTTCCAACTCAAGAAGAACAAGTTTTGCTCCAGGCAGTGCTCTTCATTACTAACTTAAACTGGTGACTTGTGGTCCACCCTGTTTCTAGGCAGAGGCATTTGTAAATCATCTTATTTGGTTGATAATCTGATTGCTTCCAGAATGAAAATTTGTTTCTGCTCTTGCTTACCTGTTTACATACACACTCAAACACACACACACACACACACACACACACTCACTCATGCATTACCGACTTCTTTTAATTTGGGGAAAGATGAGTAGATCTTTTGGTGCTTAATCCTTCTGTGTTCAATGAATGATGTGTCTTTTACCCCTGGATTTATTTTATCTTTAAAAATGGCATAGCTTAAAGATTCTGATTGCTATCCATTTGAGAACACTGACGGAGGAATTATTCCATCCAAGGTCAACGTTTATTACCTCTGTGTGTCCTTAGTCTTGAGTAAACTTTCTGAGCTTCAATTTCTTTTTCCTTAAGGAAAGGTAATTGTACCTACCTCGCAGGTGATTATGAAGATTATATAAGATCTGTATATAACCTCTAAAGACCTTTGTAAATGGATGATGCTACTGATAACTAAGTTGTTTTCTATTCTCTGTATCATCTCTTCATCTCTCCTGGAAAAATGAGATTTCTCTTGGTCTTCCATCTTCTGCTAATACTCTAGAGTTTAAGTAGATAACCTAAGTTTCTCACATAGCAACTTCATCAGAGAAGTAAGAAATATGTATTTGAATGTAGAGAGAAATGAGGCCAAACGGCCACACAGCAGAACTGGAACCAGAAACGCTTCTAACTCGTAGTCTAAATCCATTTTCTTTAGATTATAGTGTTCACTTTTTCTCACCGGTGCTTTTTCTTTCATTTAATCATAAAGTATTTTCACCTCTATTCAAAGCTAAAGAAGGAAAAAAATGAAAACAAAAATTAATTCAAATCTCAATTCAGTAGGATCTTTTTGCATCAAACTTCTCTATGTTTATATAGAGAGCATAAATTCATAAGAATTTAAATTTCTATAGGACTTCGTTGTTTTACAACACTCGTGTTCACTCTTCAATATTATTCCTCTCAATAATTTATTTTAAGATATATCAAGTACATGGAATCATTCGTATTTTACTGGTAAGGAAACAGGCTCAAGGAAACTGGACAGGATGGACTCCTGGCTAAGGGTACACAACTGGTTAAAGGACGAGACTGAGGGAGAGAAAAAAGAGCCTCAAAAATTACAATGTAAATCCCTTTTCACCTCAAGTGTTCCTATTCACTGCTTGATCAGAACCATTCGATTAAGAATTTCCAAACTCCGACCAGAGAATTTATAATTCATGAAGCCCAACTTCCTGTTTGTTGCACTGGAGTATGTAGCACTCTAACGGCCAGTCATTTCTGATCCTGGCTAGGATTTTAGAAGCCTATTTGAGCTAGTATTCTATTGGGTAAGTGGTTGATGTGGGCACCATGCAGCTACTGGAAATACCCTAGGGAGAAGAGAATTCTGTAGAAAGGAAGCAATTTTCAGTATGTGATGGATAATCAACACACTCACATACATTTGATCATTTGCATACATCATTTGATACTTAGCATATCTAATTGCTTTCTGACAGGAATTAGCTTCCCTGTTTGCTCTGCTTCTTGCTTAGTACCCTCACCAAATGCATCACTGGAGTCCACCAGTCCCTGTAGAGCCGTGCCTATGGTCTGGGTCACCCTTAAGTCCCAAAGGGCTGATCATGTAAAAGAGATGATTGTAGGATTTCAGAACCATCTCTGACCTGTGAAATCCTGCAAGAGAAAGTATGTTCCATTTTGGTGATTTCTGGAAAGATTACAAATTATGGTGATTATAGCACATGATAATAGTCAAAATGATCAGAGTTTACAGTTAATGAAAATGTATGCCATGTCGGTGTTACATAATCCCCCAAATCATCACCATTTTACATGGCAACAAATCACCACCATGTACTCTTTTGCTGGTATAGACAAACAATGCTGCAGCCCAAAATGCTGATGAGCCACAAAATAAAGTACAGGTGGTATAGGTTAGGGTAGGTCACCGAGAACTCCATGGGGTGATGAATCTTACATAATTCTGATAGAAAATGTAGAGATTTAGATATTGGAATATTTGCAGGGAAAGTTGCACTTGGCCTTCAAGAAATCTAATAGGTGGACATTATCTTAGAAGTAGAAGTCTTACAAAGTAGAAGAAGAGTCTCTCCAAGTGTGATGGTTAGTTTATGTCACAACTTGACTGGGCCACGGGATGCTCAGAAAGCTGGCTAAACATTATTTCAGTGTGTTTCTGTGAGAGTGTCTCTGGAAGAGATTAGAATTTGAATTGGTGGGCTGAGTAAAGAAGATTGCCCTTGCCAATGTGAGCGGGCATCAGACAATCTATTGAGGGCCTGAGTAGAACAAACAGAAGAGGAAGATTGAATTTGCAATCTGCCTGACTGTGAGCTGGGGCATCAATCTTCTCCTGCTCTCAGGGCTCCTGGTTCCCAGGCCTTCAGACTTGGATTGGAATCTATACCATTGGCTCTCCTGCCCTCAGGCCTTTGAACTACACTACCAGCTTTCCCGGGTCTCCAGCTTGCAAACTGAGGGACTTCTCAGCCTCCATAATCATGTGAGCTGATACTTTATAATAAATCTCTTCCAAGATATGTATAAATGTAAGTATAGATACAGATATGTAGATATAAGTAAATAGATATGAGCTTATCATCTACTTATCTATCAACATCTATTGGTTCTGTTTCTCTGGAAACTCTGAGCAATACACTAGTACACCAAGGCTCCTCAGCTTTGTGGGTCCAGAAACTTGAACTTGTCAGTGCAACTGAGTTGGGTTGATTCAGGGAGATTGATTCATGCTGAATAAGCTCACAAGAGACTAAAGTATGTATACCAAAATGAAGATGATTGGTTAATTTTTTTTTTTTGAGGAAGATTAGCCCTGAGCTAACTACTGCCAATCCTCCTCTTTTTGCTGAGGAAGACTGGCCCTCAGCTAACATCCGTTCCCATCTTCCTCTATTTTATATGTGGGACACATACCACAGCATGGCTTTCATCAAGTGGTGCCATGTCTGCACCGGGGATCCGAACCGGCGAACCCTTGGCCGCCGAGAAGCGGAACGTGCAAATTTAACTGCTGCGGCACCGGGCCAGCCCCATGATTGGTTAATTTTTTGGATGAAAACACTTGGTCTTATTTCCTTCTTGGAAATAACAATCAGAGGGTAGCTTGATGAGTATAGATTCATAATAAAAATTAGTTATAAGACTGGACAATTTAATGTTATAATTATTTTCCATGATATACTGACTCTGAGGACCAGATATTAGTTAATTAATTTAGAACACTTACTTTTGATGAGAGTTTGAATCAGTATTTATAAAACATGGCTAAGAATTTTTTCCAAATATGTGGCACTTTATATATGCTCCACCCCTTAAGTTTGATTAGCATCAAGTTATTGATTTGGTCTGGGAATTTTTCTTTCCATTTAAGGTTATTGTGTACCGCTGTTATGATGCATCTGGGGTTGATTTTATAACTTGTTTCTAAGAAGTTATACTTTTTTTCTCTTAAAAAGATTTAGGAACATCTCATTAGTATCTCATTGCAATGCCGGAAATCTTTATGAACATTTGGAATCAAGAGAAACAGCTGGAAAAGTTCAGAATGTTTCCATTATAATGTAAGCCCACTACTATGCTTAATGGCATGAGTGAGGTCTTTCAGGTAATAATGAACAATGTGGGTGAAGAGTTTAAGAAGACTGGCTTGGTCTGAACAAATAAAAATATAGTCAAGAGTTCTGAGATCACTTGGATGGATGCTGGGGAAAGATGGATGGAGGCAGGCAGTTGCAGATTCTAGAATGAAATACTAAGGTAAAATTCAATCTGAAAGCAGAATCTTGTAAGCCCTTGCATAGAGAGGCTCAGGTTGGTCATGGAGCATCCATTCATTGAGTACCACTCGGTCTTAGCCCTCTTCTGGGTCTGGGGGACACAAAAGTGAGTGACAGAAGGAAGCTTCTCACCATACAATCTAGAGGGGAAGACAGACACTAAAAATTATTTTTAAAAGTCCATTAAACAATCGTTAAGTGGCAAAGTGCTGTAAGATAGAAGTTTAGAATTCCATGGGAAGGTATCCCAATGGAATGAAACAGAATCTGCGCGGGGCTGAATTCTAAAGCAACTTTCTGGAATAATAGAATAATAAGTTCATTTGCTCGTAATTATGAATCTGCAATTACCAGCAAAGGATTAGAGCACCTAAAAAGTGGAGGAAGGGACTAGTTGCTTACTATGGGCTCAAAGGAGCTGAGTATCTCCCTGTCATTTTTATTTTTTAATATCCATAGCATAAACTGGTGTCCTTGGGCAGAGGCTTCTGAGACTCAGTGCATGTTCCGAAGTGACTGGGAGATAAGTGGTCTCCCTGGGACTTCAAGTTCTGTCTAACTCCAGTGTATTTACTCAATGACCCTGTGCCTGTCACAAATTTCAAATGCCTATTTTGAGATTCCTCTACTTTTATAAGTGTAGCTGTGTTTTCTAGACAGGAATGTGGAAGATTGAAGATTAATGAACTGTACCCAGAAATGAGTAAAATTGAGGGGGGAACACACAGTAAGTGGGATCTGAGTCCTTGGTCCTCATTCATTCATTCCTTCTGCAAATTGTCATCTGTGCCCAAATGTGAAGCCAAGGTTACAGTGGGCTTCCAGAGAAAGTGGTGTCCGCGAACCATTTTCTCTCTCTTCTCCCGGGGTTTGAAATGTCACCAGAGCCCTGAGACACAATAGAGGATTTTAATGTACATTCAAGTGTATGATTCTTTCTATTATCATTCTTATTATTATCATTATTCACATCCTATTAGCTTTTCACCTTGAGCTAATGTGACATTTCATTGCTATGGAAAATCAATGAGGCAAAAATTTCTCATGCTACCACAAACAATTACTGTTGATTTAAGTACAAAGACTAAATACCACATGGACGATATGGATAAAGAGATTAAAATGCATACATACATATCATCCATTATTGAGAATCTCTTAAGTGGTTTTAAAAATTAGTGTTTTCTTCTAGAAAGAACAGATTCCCTTATTGAATGACCATAACCTGAACTGAAACTTGCTTTCAGCATAATTAGCTATGTCCTCACTTCTGATAATGATACCAAACTTTGGATTTAATTAGACTCTAATTGCTGTTTTAAATTGTCTCCTGCCTCAGACTTTGCTTTCTTTGCCATCTCATTCTGAGTTTATTTTTTTTCCATTTTCTATTTTTGTTCCTGTATTGAGACACAATACCTAAGAAACGAGTCACAAAACTTTTAACCAATGGGGTGGTCCTAGCAAGAGCACATGATATTTTCCAAGAAGCTTCTCTAATAATGATTTCATGTGGCAATGGATGGCTATTTGTCAAGCATATTTTCCATTTCTCCTGGGAACAGCTAGCTCATGTTTCCCTGAAGTTAAGTGTGCTCATGTGACAAAGTCCTGGCCAATGGACTGTGAAAAGAAGTGATCCTGGCTCATAAAACCTTCCACAGGATCCTCCATTCTATTTCCTCCCCTGTCTGCTGGCTAGATGTTGACATCCAGGTGACCTTGGATGTCCTGTAGTTCCCAAGACTCTGCTATGCTGGATGTCTTCTCCCAACCCCCACCTATTAGATTTTCATTATGTGAGTGAGAAACAATCTTCCAGTGGGTGAGGCTGTAAAGATTCATGGTCGAGCTGTTTCAGCAGCCATCACTACCTTGTCTAAAACGTTTGGTAACATCTCCTATAGACCATTGACTAATGTTTTA